AAAGAACAGTAAAGAGGAAAAAAGTGTAACGACAACAAGATATGTGTGCCGACATGCCCACGGGGATGGCAGTGTTATAGACGCTGGAGAGAAAAAGAGACGGTATAAGAAGTCGGAGCGCGTTTATCCACAATGTCCGTGTTTTGCCTTGGTGGGTCACTCGTGAACGGATTCAAGCGCAAGTCATCTGTTTTCAGGTGAAACAAAAGGAGGATGTTCAAGTCTCTCTTGTTGCATGTTTTGATCACATAGGGCACGAAATCAATAACGCTTCTGCGAGGCTTTCTACATCTGAAGAAAACGTAGTTTTGAACATGATCAAAGCCGGAATACCAGATCAGATGGTATGTTACCATTTAGCTGATTTCTACTGCAACTGCGACTGAAGCTTTCACAGATAGTTGTGAAATTGAATTCTGGAATGACGAAAACCCTCCGGGAAGACAGGCGCGGCTATGCTACCTTACAACAAGAGACATTCATTAAGAGCTTTTTAATTTACTTGATGTGATCTAAATTTCCTTAAAAGCAGCGTTCCCAGAAAGGTTCGATATAAACTCCGCTCGCCTATTTGCTCGTCGATTCGAAAAATAGTTTCGAGAGCCGAAAATGTCGAGAATGGTTTTTCCAAAGCTTTTAGTTTTAAGTGGAACAGAGCCAGCCATCCAAGGCTGAAGACGCGTAGTCGATGTGTGGCCTCAAAATCATAATTAGGTTCAAGCGTGGGGTGTGGCGCGCCACACCTGGGGGTCGTACTGAGGGGTTAAGGAGGTGGGAAAGAGGGTTCATCGAAGTGGTTGTGATGTTAGCGATACCATAATTTTTGTTAACAATGTCAGATAGGCCCATTATGCAAAATATTAGGTTGGTGCAAAATCAATGTCCGCTTTTCTAGGCCTATTTTCCGAACAACTTTTTTCCTTTGAAACTTCTTTTGAATAGGGATTCTGCATATCGCTGGAAGGCTTTCTTCATGTATTTCTAACGGTAAAAAATTAGTCTAATTTCTATTGTGAGAATTTCACCAGCATCTCACACAGCTGCACTCAAAATCAAAAATTCTTACGTTGCTTTAACTTCCTTGACCACAGTTCAGGCGCAAATGAACGGACTATTTCGGAAACAAGCTACTATATTGGTTGAGCATTGTTTACTTATAGCATGTCCAAGAAGACTTTTCGTAAATTTCTGATCCGAGAAATCGACGCCCAGGAATAGATACTCGCTACTGGCGTTCTATGGGTCCGAAGTTTCTCATAATTAGGGCGATCGCCAAAGCTTCGCTCATTTCTATGTTTGCGTTCAAGACATCTTTTTTACGATTTTTGCAGAAAAGATTAGCTATCTATGTATGAATTTCAAATTTCATATTTTAGGATTTCTGGCCCACAAATAGGCTCGAAAAAGTGAACAAATTCCTCTTTTCTTCGCAGATTCTCGTTGAATTTTTTTTGAACAAAGGTATGCTACCGTCTACAAGATAAGCTGCGTCTTTTTACGCATAGTTTTCTTCCCGTTTGCGATATCAGTATTTGCAGATGTGCGTTGAGTTACGAAAGTTTACTCTTCTGGTGATTTTAGTTGCATCCAAAAATATGAAGACTGAACAAGGTTGTAGCCTTAAATTAAAGCTATGCAAAACGGACACTGAGCTAATAAAATACTAGCATTGATGCTTTCGCCTACCTTCGCATACGTACAGTAAGCACGACAAGAGCTAGCATAGAAAAATCGTTTTCGTAATTGCTTGTCAAATAACCTCGCGGGCCAAGTTTAAGCGAATTCCGAGGTTTTCAAACATTAGACCACTCAAGTGAAATGTTCATATTCGAACAAGCTAGCTTTGTTTCCAAGGTGGGTTAACTATTCTTTTTTTGCGCTTAATACTAAATACTCCTACTTCGTTGCACATATAGTGCTGGCCATAGCTATAAAGCCACCATAAAAATCACCGTAATTTGCTCTCTCTTGCTCATATTTGTTAGAAAAACTGCTATTCTGTGCGCCAACTAACGTCATACCATTGACCAGAACGGCTCCTGTTTTCATGGATTTTGGCAGGAGAAAAATTGAAAATTTGAAAAAACGGGTTTCGAAGGCTGGTCACAGCTATAAAGCCACCCACCTCTCATTTTCAATCAGTACTGCGTTTTTTTGAACCTCAAATTTTTTGTACATATAGAACATTAAAACATAAAACATTTGTTACACTTGGAAGGGGCCGCCTTTTAAAAAGAAGATTCGTACTGCATTTTTTGCTCTAAAATGCATAATAGGTCACATCATTTGCAAAAAACTGCTTTTTCACTGGATTTTAGAGCACATGTTTGACTCGGATGAAGGCCCTATGCTTTGCCGAGCCTTTGCAATGAATATGGCGAAAAGCGCTTGAGTCAACATTGCGTAGTCGCTGATATTGATAAACGAGCCCCAACCTCACCTTCAGGTAGACGAGTTTTCGAACCGCAGAAATTGAGTTCTAATGCCCGAAAAGCTCTGTTGCGTGCTCAACACGTCGCTTGTATAAAACGACAGACTCGTGTGCATAGCCTGTACGTCAACGCAACTCTGAGGACTCTGGTTCCGCTTTGGACGCTTTTTTTCCAAAAAAGGGTGGTGCACTCCGTCTGATCATGATCCACTCTAACCACCTCGATCGAGCGGAAAACCGCTCAGAAGTTCAAAATCCTTCTATTCCTGAAAGTTTAGTAAGATTTGATTCGATGAGGAGTTCAAAGCAGTGAAATTTGAAGTCTTGTGAGATACACTGCGCACAACCGAACTTTAGACAAAGCGTTCTAACTTCATTGCGGCAAATAGGTCTTTGTAAAAAAACCTGGCGGCTTCTGCATGAGTACGTCGCCATGCAGACAAGGTGTCAACTTCCAACCAAAAGTTTTCGCGTGTCAGAAATCTAGTTTTGCGTCTCAGAAGCGTGCTTACACCTCGGTAAGATGAGGCTCGTTTACCAAGATTAGCGACTACGCAATGTTGAGTTCAGCACTTTTCACCTCGCTCATTGCAAAGGCTAAGCAAATCCTAGGACGTTCATCCGAGTCAAACAAGTGCTTCAAAATTTAGTGAAAAAGCAGTTTTTTGCAAATAATGTGAGTTATTATGCAATTTAGAGCAAAAAATGCAGTACGAATCTTCTTTTTGAAAGGCGACTCCTTTGAAGTGTAAAAATGTTTCATATTTTGATGTTGTATATGTACAAAAAATTTGAGATTCAAAAAATTTAGTACTGATTGAAAATGAGAGGTGGCTTTATAGCTGTGACCAGCCTTCGGAACCCGTTTTTCAAATTTCTAAAGTTTTCTCCGGCCAAAATCCATAAAATTGGGAGCCGTTTTGGTCAATGGTATGACCTTAGTTTGCGCACAAAATAGTGGTTTTTCAGACAATTATGAGCAAGAGAGAGCAAATTACGGTGATTTTTAGGGTGGCTTTATAGCTATGGCCAGCACTGTATTAGGAATTCAACTTCAAATAATCTCCACACTATGAAATGAAGAGCAGGCCAAAATCTTGTTAATACAATTTTTCGCTTTTAAATCCCAGACTAGAGAAGACCAGGCTCAAATCACTTTTACAAGGTTTAGGTTATCGAATATACATATTTATACTCGCCGCCTTCCCTCGCGATTCGCATAATAGCGCAGACTTAGCATGTTACCGTAACGCAGTAGATTTGCAGTATTTTCCACTAACATAGATAAGGAAAAACGATTATATATTCTCTAAAAAATGATTTCAAATGAAATTTCTGCCTTATAGAGAAGAAGGTTGAGCAGTAGCAACGATACAATAAGCGCACGTATTGGAATCGTTTTAATCCAAGGTATGAGAGATGAGTGCATTTCAAGGTTCCATAAAGGTTAGGAAGGGCTAACAAAACGACTTTGCACAAGATTCCTGTTATTTAGAGAAGAATATAACAGTGGCATGGTATAAAGAAACACAGATATATGAATGCTGAATGCTCTGAAGGTAACATAATGGAGTGTGGCAGCCACAGCTTTTCTGGGGTTGTGCCACATTCCATTAAATTACCTCCAGAATTTTTAGCGAAACAAAACATATACAGTTTGATAGCCTGAACCTCGTGATCTTTACAGGAATAAATTGAACCTGATTTTTCTTTTTTGCCCTGAGTACAAGCTGGTGGAAGCACTGGAAGCACAGCCAATAAAAGCTAAAAATGGGAAAAACGAGATTTTGGCCTGCTTTTAATTCCATAGTTTGGTGGTTATTTGAAGCAGGATTTGGATATGGATAAATAGGGAATAGAGTTTGTATTGAGTACATAAGCAGTCAGCTAATTCACTTTTAAAATGTAGTCAATCATGTTTGAATATGACAACCCATTTGGGTGGCCAGTACTGCGAATTCTCAGCCTGGTCATAAGCGTGTGCGAACGCGCTTTAGCTTACAGTCTGAAAGGGGTGGTTAGGCAGGATCCAGCCGAAGGCGAGGCCCAATCCGTTTTTGCGGCAAATTTTTAGTTTCGCAAACCCGCTCTTTTGCAGCAAACTTCAATTATCGCTTAGGTAGGGGTCTACTAGCACACTGCCGCAGAAGTGTGGCATACATTATTTTCTCGAGATTGCTGCCATCAAGACGTGACACGCATCAACAGTAAACTTGTGTTGGGATTTTTGTTTGTAGATTGACTCTGACCGCACCGCAAATTTGCGCCTTTACTAATCAACAACTTGGATTGACTAAAATATTAGTACCATGCATTTTGACGGTATTGAGATAGGTACACGTCTACACAAACCTCAATTTTCGAAGTAGAAAGAAGAAGAGAAAAGGAAAAACGTGAAAGTTTTCCTTACACGCACGTGCAAATTATGGGTGTTTTTGTCAATATGAAATGAATAGCAATAGATGAATAGCAGCAGTGGATTTCAGCTAATGCTTGAAATTGATTACCAGGCTTCTATTCAAAGTAACAAATGAGGTATATTGTGTATCAAAAAAGGGAATGAACTTACGTTTTGGCAAGGACAGTACGGCGTACGAATGATATCCATCTTTAACAACAGCGAACCTCACTGCTCTCAACCTAAAATACGTAAAATCTCCATAGAACGTAACCCCTTCGGCGACTCGATGAGGTGGTAACGCGTTAACAAAAAAGCTTAACATTTATACTTTGCTGATCTTTTTTCGAGCAATGCTTGAGTCACGTTCCTTAGGAGCAGCGGCTCTGCAGATTGGCAGTTTCAAATATTTGTCTTCTTGATTTCCCCCTTAATATTTTCTTAATCAAGCTAGATCTAAAACTGTGGCTTCAGCTTTTGAATATATCAATAAGTCGCCTTTCTGGAAGTGAAAGCTGCTGTTCGGGAGGGAAGCGGACTGTCCTTTTGTAGAAAGATCGGCTCCTGGAAATAATAATTCAGTTGTCACCGAGTGGGTGGGTGTCTCTCCCATCCAGACTTTACAAGCCTAACGCTTTCTAGAAGGAAGGCTTTTGTTTTCCGCCCTAACAACACTTTCCACGTCCCGAAAAGCGTTATCGCTATCTTCAAAAGCTGCAAAGCACAGTTTTTGGCTTAGCTCGTCTAAATGAGTCGAGGACAAAAGTGCTTCCTCATCTGGAGCCACTCTTTTCAATCCATAATTTCCCTCAAAGGCATCGTCCGAAAACATTTAGACACATGGGAATGCGTGTAGAAACTGATGTTGGAAGCCCGATTTGGGGTCGCATGCACTAACATCCTCGCCAAGAAGGGGATAGCAGCTTAGAAGAAAGCTTCACATCCTGAAGATTCAGATATCTAAATTTCATGTTGTCCACCTATCCGTAAGTATTCCTGCTAACCTTCATTGTAAACATATTAAACGGAGGCGAGAAGCTGTACGGGTCTTATTTCCCAGCTTTTTCTACAATCCCCTGAAATCCCCAGCGGTCGATCGTCTTTTCTTCGACATCAAATTTCTTCCTTAAAAGTTAACGAAAACGTGCCAAAGTTTACTGATTATGTTAAAGAACAGTGCCAAGCATGTGTATGATAAGAACAGATGACGCTGTAAATTTTTCGATAATATCCTGCCCGCGAACAGTGGTCCATCCAAAGTTTTGATATCCTGAGATCCCACTTTTCTCTACCATAAATATGTTGAGCATTGTATGTATCTTTGATACAATTTTGCAACTTTTCCACTGAGTTTATAGGAAGATAAACTACTTTGAAAATGAGATTCGATCCCCTAAGAATCCCCAAGGGATCACACAAAACATTGAAATGTAACCTTGTATGGCAGTATCCTGACATTCATTATGCGCAGTAATAAAAGAATGAGGAGAAAGAAGAAGAAAGGTATCTAGGGGCAGGAAGATATGATTTGTCTTCTCATTGCCAGATCACTTCCCTTCCCCGCGGGGATGTACGCGCATACGGGACTTGGGATGCATGCACTAACATTTCTTTTAAAGGCAGTAGGTCGGCAGAATGAGACCCGTGGCAAAACAAGGTCACAGGGTAGGAGCCCCCATAATGGAACCTATGGGCCAAAGTTCGATCTTTCTCTGCCACTTCTAACCCCCGAAATTTCAAAGCGAAAGCAGCGCTCATCTCCTGTCCTCTCCGAACCCGCCCACCCCATGGACGAGTGAACGCGAAGCCCGCCATGGCGAAGACGCAGAGTCGTTGCGGGACCTCATGCTTATAGCATTGCGGCTGGCGCTCTGGCCGCGGAAGTCACTCGTCCATGGGGTGGGCGGGTTCGGAGAGGGCAGGAGATGAGCTCTGCTTTCGCTTTGAAATTCCGGGAGTCAGAAGTGGCAGAGAAATGTCGAACTTTGGCACATAGGTTCCATTATGGGGCTCCTACCCTATGACATTGTTTTGCCACGGGTCTCATTCTGCCGACCCACTGCCTTTAAGGGCCGCATGCACTAATCTCCCCGCTGGGGAGGGCAGCTCAAAAGAAAGCTTTATATTTCGAAACTGCAGATACCTGTATTTCACGTTGTGTACCTGTCCCTAAGTATTCCCACTACCCTTCACTATGAACATGTTGAACAGGAGCGGGAAGCTGTACGAACCGCATTTTCCAGCTTTTATATGATCCCTGATGATCCCCGACGTTTTTCTTTAAAGTCATTTTTCTTTCTCCGAAGTTAACGAAAACCTTTCAAAGTTGTACTAATCATCTAACACAACAGTGCTAAACATATTGCTGATGAGAACAAATGAGTTTTTGAATAGTCGAATTTTTCGGTAAACCTCAAATTTCGACCTACGGATCATCGAAAATTTCATGACTTCAAAACATCACTTGTTCTTATCAGCAACATGCTTAGCACTGTCGGTTTAGATAATCTGCACAACTTTGGAGGTTCTTCGTTAACTTCGGAGAAAGAAAAATGACTTTAAAGAAAAGCGCCGGGGATCATCAGGGATCATACTAAAGCTGGAAAATGCGGTTCGTGCAGCTTCTCGCTCCTCTTCAACATGTTCATAGTGAAGGGTAATAGAAATACTTACGGATAGGTACACAACGTGAAATCCAGGTATCTGGAGTTTCGAAATATAAAGCTTTCTTTTAAGCTGCGATCCCCTCCCCGCGGGGATGTTAGTGCATGCGGCCCTAAGCTACGATTCCCTCCCCACTGAGAAGCTCAAAAAAAACTTCATATTCCTGAGTGTCAGATATCAGAATTTCACGCTGTCTACCTAACCACAAGCATTCTTACTAACCTCCATTATGGAAATCTTGAATAGGAGCGAGAAGCTGTACAAGCCGCATTTTACAGCTTTTGTATGATCCCCTGATGATCCCCGGCGGCCGACCGTCTTTTCGTTGAAGTCGTTTTCCTTTAAATCCCTCCGAAGTTGTACTGGTTATATAACTCAACGGTGCTAAGCATGCTGCTGATAAGAACAAATGAGTTTTTGAGAAATCGAATTTTTCGATAAACTGACTTTCGACTTGTGGTTCATCGCAAATTTCATGACTCCGAAACAACATTCATTCTTACCAGCAACATTAGCACTGTTGGGTTAGATAAACAGCACAATTTGAAATGTCCTTATTGTTCAAAAGAATGAGTTTGAAGAAAAGGCGGTCGGCAGCTGGGTCATCAAGGAATCATACAGTGAGCTGGAAAACGCGGTTTGTACGGCTTTTCGTTGTTGTTCTATGTTCTTAGTGAAGGATGGTGGGAACACTTACTCATTGGTAGACAGCGCGAAATTCAGATATCTGGAGCTTCAGGTTATAAAGTTTTCTTTTGAGCTGCGACCCCCTTTCCAGCGAGGATGTTAATGCATGCGGTGCCTAGACATTGACTGGACTCAAGTGTTGAACAATGAAGCGGTAGAAGACCTCTATCAGAATTTTTGTGCAACTCCTATGGAATTGTGCAAAAATGCCGTATATTATTGATATACGGTATTTTTAGCACTTCCATTGGAATATTATTATTATCATTATTATTATTACTATTACTATTATTATTATTATCAATATTCTAGCTAAAAATGTAACAGTCATAATAAGCTGAAGCGGTACCTCCCACAGAACCTGTTAGAATAGATGGATGAGCTCTTCTCACTATATAAAGTTTGTAGGTAGAAGAGGAGCTCTTTTCACTTCATAAAGTTTGTAGGAATACAACTACCATATTCGGTTATCTAGTAAATCGTAAGCTCTATAAATGTCTTATTTTTAGCTACCAAAAAAAGTCGACAAATTTTGCCCAATTTCTCTGCTGTGCATGGCAACATACAAATAAGGAAGAACCTGATGAGCAGTGCACTTATTTTGAAGGTTTTTTGAAATAAAAATCCTAACAACAACATCACTGTTGCCCTCACTCATACCTTCGATAGTCTAGAGACAGGGCGCCAAAAGTGAAGGTTGTTTTAACATCTGACGTCATAAAATAGTGAAGGTTGTTTGAAGAAGGTCAGAAAAGAGAAAATGACGCAAAACAGATATAAAAAGTAAAAGAAACGCTGTAAACCGGATGAAAATGCTGCAATAAAGTTTGAAATCTTTCATTTGGCGGCTTTTCAGAGCGCAAGTTTTCGCTCCTGGACCAGCAATTCGCAACACGGGGATTTGACTTTTGATGCGTCCTTTAGATTTTTACCCCCGCATTGACGTTCCTGTTTCCTGGGACGTTGTCTGGATTGTTGCGCTTGTTGTTCTGAGCAACAATCGCCCAAGCTGGAAAAAAATCGATGCGAAAACACTGAAACAGAACAAGGTAAAGAAAAACGCACTTTTTACAATTTTTCGCAAACTCCACCATAATCGAAGAGATAACGGCTGGGTGGTTGTCAGCATTATGAACACAAGCAAGATCTATAGAATGCACGAAAAAACCGCGTGAAAAGAGCTAAACTTGGGGAAAAACAAGAGATTTTTGAAAACAAGGTTTTTACCGGATTTCTAGATCAAATCAAAAAATGTGGTTCTGGGACGTCGTCAGCGTGAAAATAGAAATCAAGAGCTTCAAAATGATATATAGCTTGCAAAATTTGGGTTCGAAACAGCGAAGAAAAGGGTACCAGAGCCAAATGCCCCGCGCCCCGCGTTTGGGGTAGCGAGGTAGCGCGCAGCACGCGGAGACGCAGACGAGCAGCGGAGGCAGACCAGAGCCGACGGGGCATTTGGCTCTGGTGTAGATCTCAGCGGGGTCTCAGCGAAATCTTGCAACATTATATATCATTCTGATCGTCATGACACGACGAGGAGAATTGACAACGTCCCAAGCTTTGAAAACCACTCATTAACGAGATAGACAGCGTATTCGTGCGCGATTCTCTGCGCAAGAACTAAGCGCAGTTTCTCGTTTTTATTTAACTCCAATAGCTTTTTTAAACTTCTGAAACTCTTTTTGGTCAAATGAGAGGTTAACTGAGAAATGTTGTCCTGAATTTCGGTGAAAATTCCACAGAAACCTTCTCTTTAACGTAAAAAAGGCTATGAAAACGCGAATTCTCGGTTTCGCTGAAATAAGCTAGGGATATTATTCCCTATATTTGCTTCATTAACATTCGTTCCGATACAGTCAGGATAATAAAGATAATAACGTCGAGGGAGAAG